TTTGTGAAGAAGCACCCATGTGGATTTATTTTATTTACTCCTCTGCACCCTGTAATTTCACCCTCTCCGGCGTATCCATCAACTGTTTAAACCTGGGGGCATCACTGCCCTGATTCACCTCATCACCAGGAACCTGAGGCAGTCTGTGTTCACAACAAATCATTTGCTTCTGCTCAACACTTCCAGTTGATCTATAAATGAAAGTTACACCTATTTTCCACCACCATCCGATGAGATAATCTGCCAAATCCTGAAACTCCCATCACGGATCTGAAGCGCAATACCTCACAACCAATCCTGGCCCCATTTTCCAGGTCAGTAACTAAAGGCATTGGTGGGTTTTCCCATCGCGGTATCTGTCCTTCCCCTCCTTCTCCTCCCGTTCCACGGACAAGCTCCAGAGTGTTGACCTCCCTATTGAGCAGATAATTGTCTGTCAGCTGTCCTCCGTGGAATAGCTGCTTGACACCTTGGCTGAAGAAAAAGGACAGGATGATTTGCAGCCAACCCAGCACTCTTGGTCAGCCTTTTATTTCAGAAACCTTTCTAGATGCAAGTGCATTTTGATGAAGACCACTAGTCACCTCTCCAGCTTTTTTCCCAGAGCTGTCACCACTTTCCTGAGACCCTTACACATCTGACAATCTTCACCCCAACTCACAGCCTGCGACCCTTCCTCTGTGCTTGTTTATTTATTACTCAGCAGTTTGAACCATCTCCTCTGCTCCCAGCACATTTATAGTACAGTGAGGAAAATATGGGGATCCATGAGCATTACGTCTCCTCCGTATGTCCCGGATTATTAATAATGTTGTCATCACTGGGGATAAATTAATTGCTTGTGAAAAGTCAAACAATTAGATATTTATTTCTTATGATGTGCAGCTAATGAGAAAGACTGCTGTTACAGATTAGAACATAGGTGTGAACATGCAGGATTTATTGTTGAATTGCCATGTCACCATGTCACCGGGAGTGCTTTTGATGAAAATATAAATTCAAGGTGTCTCTATTTGAATTTAGGATAGTCGTGAAGCAGGAAATCCAATTTTTCACCTGCAAAATCACCATATCTGTAGTTGAAGGGTGCAAAAAGGTATGGCTCACAGCAAGTCGGTTTCATGTTACATTGTGCCGAGAAACTCCTCACATTTCCCTATAAAATACAGTATGACATAGATGTATTTGGAAAATGCTTTATCCACCATGCCTTAAGAGACAATATAGCAGTGATGTTTAATATGTAGTCTTAAAGGAAAACTTGCGTTATCTTTTCTTTGTTGTTAAATATAAATTAGTAGGAAATCTAAAGCTGTGGCCCAATTCAGGAGCTTTGCTTTGATAGGCAGACAGTCTTAGACTGATTGCATCTCTATTGGCTTAGCAATTGGCTTAGAAGTGCAGAGTTTCTTGTCCAAATGTTGTGGATATAAGCAATGCGTCCATAAGAGCCTTTCCCATTATCCGTTGTCTGATGCTTATTGTTCACTAGCAACTATTTGGTTAAATCATCTTAATGTTCTCACTTCTATCTCTTCGTGCTCATTCATGCACATCTTCTTTTCAAGGGCATATTTGTTAAGGAAAATAGTATAGTCTATCAAGTCTATCAAGTCTCCCTCAATCCAACATCTTGTCTCTTGTCTTTGATATGCAAAATTATTTGTTAATTGTTTTCGAAAGCTGCGGATCACATTGAAGGTATGATTGGTCCACAACAAAATGGCTGTTTGAAATGCTGGTTCTGTAAGCATTTTGATGAAAAGCAAGTCCTTAAAATGGTGATAAGGCTCATTGTTTTTGATTCTGTACAGAGAAAGCACCAAAACAGATATGTCATTTTGAGTGTCAGTCGGACTACACAATTAGTAACAAATGGACTGCCTGCCAACAGATTATTCCCCCTCATTAAATATGCTGTAATGCAGGGATACAATAGCTACCACTAAATGCTTCATAAAATAAGCGCTTGCTGTGAAGTGGAGTTAATGCCTTTGATGATTATTTCATGAGTCAAATCAGGATAACGGTGTTTTCGGCTCGTTCAGTGATTCCAGCCTCTGGAGGAGGCTTCCATCAGTGGGAGAGGGCAAAACTAGAGAGTCCTCGTTCTCGCTTTACTCCTTGCTCGATGCAAATAATTCTTCTCCAGCTGACAAGAGGCTCTGTCTCCTGCAGCACGGCGGAGAGACGGGCTGTCAGACGCTGCTCGGCGCAGCCACAGAGTGATGTATTCATTTAATTTCAGAGTGATGACATGCTGTACAAAGACTGGCCAGCCATACCCATACTGACTGTACTTCTCTCTCTTCCACACATGCAGGTAGCCAGTGCTCGGTGCATGCAAATGCAATTTAATGTTGTGGAAAAACACTTCCCTGATGCTTGTTAATTTACTGTGTGATGCTTGTTTTAGTATTGGGGGCTGATGGTCCGTCATTAGCTCTGTGGAAAGGTTTACACTTCTTGAAATCTCAAACCAACAACAAGACGCCCCCTCCATTTTTTTCCTTTGTCTTCTCTCTGAACAATTGTTTGTTCATATTATTGTATTATGTAGGCAACACAAGCACTAAAGCTTTCATTAGAAGAGAGAATTGAAGGCAAACGATACAAATATAACCCAAACCACCATTTTAGTTCACAGCGAACAGCTTTGCTTCATCTTTGACCTACTGTGCTTGCCGTGGTGGGGCCCTCACAGTTTCCCTGTTAATGAGGGAATAATGACTTATGTTTTAAACGAGGAGTTTTGGTAATCTGGCAAACAGTTTTTTTGTTTTTGTTGCAATGTATCGCCACATTCACAGATCTCAGCCTTACTTTAATGAATGCAATAATACCATCACTAATATATAAAAAAACACCTATTCTTTTTGCATTATATGACTTTGATTTGTATTCCCTAGTCATTTTATGACATGATTGAATAGTGTTAGCTATATTCTGTAATGCCACAAGCCAGTCAGTTAACAGCAGACAGCTGACTGCTAATGCTAACTATTCCCAGATAGATTTTTTTTAAAGCCCCGCAAGTAAATAAAAGCGTAAAACCTGTTGTTTTTAAGCTGGCTGTCTAACTTAAATAACATAAATAAAAGAAAACAACAATCAAAATCCAATATAAATGCCAATGTTCAGTTTCGTATTGTTCAATGAACCCCAGGTTCAGACAGCTCATGTTCAGCCTTATTCAGTTAACAATAAAAAGAGAAGAAGGAAGATGATAAATGAAAAGTGTGAGAATGTGGAAATATTTCTAACAGTTCAAATTAATGCAAATACATTCAACACATTTTGTATAAACATGGCCCACTTCCTGTCTTCCTTCTGGATACAGATCAATCAAACATGCAGAACATGACATATCTGTACACAAAATCATGTTATGTGTCATAACTAGGTATGTACTGTATGTATTACATTGTCACATACTTTCTAAAATGTGTACTTGGTCAGTATGAAAATTATATATATATATTGTATATTTTATCCAAGAGAAAGCTGGAAAAAATCTGCTTCCTCACAGCCGCGATTGATATTCTCTGGAGTGGGTCCACTCTCCCTTATCATAAATATGCATGAGAGCTGTTGAACTTTGGAATAGGATGGGCCTGATCCCTGTGTGTGAGTGTGTGTGTGAGTGTGTGTGTGTGCGTGTGTGTGTGTGTGAGAGAGCCTGTGTGTGTTTTTATATAGGCTAGGTTTGGACTATATATTGGAAAGCTGTGTCACACACTGTATATTGTGTGTGTTTATGTGTGAGAGGGGCCAGGAGTCCCTGTGTTGGGGTCATTTTCAGCCTCAGGGAAGCTGAAATGTCATGACTGGTTGCCTGCGGCTCCCGGCTGCCGCCTTCTCTGGCTGGCTAGCTCTTAATTTAGCGTGGCTGATGAGGGAGGAGAGGAGAGGGCCTGTGGTGCCGGTCGAACGCCTGCAGTCACACCGCTAAGTGAGAATAGCAGGTGAAACTGAGACAGAAATATCTTTATTTTTTCAGTTTGGTTAGGCAGGCTGACACAGAGCAATTCACCTGTTTGATGAAGTATCAAATCTGTGCTTCATGTGTACACACATGTTGATAGTTTGTCAGCTGGGTAATGAAATAACCAACCCACTCTCTTCAGTCTGCGTACAAATGACACGACTTTACACATTGGAAATCCGTGCAATAGATACGCAGAAGTCCGATTTTGCGTGCATACAGTATGATACGCCAACCATCCCCATTGAGTTCTGAGGCCGAGTGTTGTGTGCATATGATACGCCACATTTCTTGCCTGCACCACTTATTTTTGTCTGGTCGGGTCTTGGTAGACCGGAAGCTGTGTGGTTCATAACAACATGTTCTTACTCAATACCAAGCCACGATTATTGTTTTTATTTTAAATCGTATTATGTCGGACTTTTTTTGCCGTCCATTAGGAAAATAAATGGAGCTCAGAGCCTCAGGATACTGAAATCAGTATTTTTTCAATCTTTTTTTCCTTCTAATTTGTTATTCTTTTCTAAATAACACACTGTTATTTACTCAACAATAACACACAATTATCCTTGTTTTTATTTATTCGTTTGATTCTATAATATTGGGCTTTTTTTCAAAATAAAGTAAAGGGACTGTACGATCGCTGAGGATTATGGGTAGTGTAGTGTCTTCGGCCATCCTAAACTCCGAAATGTTTTTCGGATTTCATATCGCATTAACACCATATCCCAATGATGCTCGGAATTTCCCATATACAGTAGGCCTACGTCTGTTTTCGCTTATTTTATTTTGAATTTCAGTTCCTGAGAAACGGCTAAAAAGCCCAAGATTATAGAATCAAACGAATAAATAAAAACAAGGAATATTATCATTTAGATGTTAGATATAACATCATAGCATTAAACTTTCTGATAATCATAATTTCCATTGCAGGCTCTAGTTTTCAATGAGTTTTGAAAAGAGACTGGAAACCAGGAAACTGAGCACCTCTGACTTCCCCTCTCTTCCTCTGCAGTTACTTTGAGCTGGAGAGCAGCGGGGTGAGGGAGGAGATCCGCTACCACTACCGTTTCAAAGGCAAGCCGCGCTCCGAGTCCTTCCCCTACCGCCTCGCTGACGGCCAGTGGCACAAGATCGCCCTCACCATCAGCGCCACCCACCTACTGCTGCACGTCGACTGTAACAGGTAAGGCACACACACACACACACACGCTCTTGATGTCCCTGTCACATACTATTTCCGCCATGCTCCTTTTGTAGCAACACATCTAATGAGCTGTTGTTCATAACGCTAACTATTTGTTCTTTCCTGTCTGGGTGTGGATGACACATTGCTAGCACCGCTGAATATGAAAACATCAAAGGGCAGATTAACACACAGCAGCGTGCATGAAAGGCCGTTTCTTTATTTAGCCATGTTCATCTCACAGGGATCCATAATGAAGTGGAAGGTAACAATGACATAATCACCCCATCGATCGGGCAGCGAAGACTCTTTTCTAAAGGAGCACTCAGTCAGAGCTGATCCATAAACATGCACTTCAACTGTGACAATCCATCTAAGTCCTCCATCCCCCTCCCGAGAGGCAGGAAGCCATCACTTGTCCTCTTCTCAACACCATCACTACAGACGCATCGTGGACAAGTGGTGTACATTTGAGTAGATGTAATGCTCTGTTACCGCTGGTTGATGAAGAGCTATATGATTCACGGGAGGTTGTGGTATTGATTCTTCCCAGATGGCTATTATTCCCATCAGGCTGCTGGTTTGTCAATTAATTATCGCTGTCTGTCAGACTTTAGTGAAGATAAAAGAGAGCATCAAATAGTTATTGGGGGGAATAGATCAAAACGAAATTGAATAAAATGGGACAAAACGTCTTGCTTGCTTACAGTGCTTTGGGTTAGAGTCAATTACTGAATAATATTAAAACGGTTTAAATGGGAGCTTTTTCTCTGTATCATGCTACCTTAATACAAGATGCTACTATTTTAGTTTTCTCTTTTATCTTGTTTTTCTCTTTTTATTTAATAATTATTTCTGTCTGAATTTTTGTTGTCGTTTTTATATGTTTATGTTTTTGTCAGTACCGTACATCGTAATAGACTGGCATATCAGCCAGACCATTACTAGACACCCGCCAGCAGCTTCTCAATAAATAGAAACTTCTCCCTTATTTATTTGACTTTGTAAAAACCGTATAAAGAGAAGGTACCCATGTACTAAGGCTCACTCCTTTTGGTAGCAGCCCCTTTTTCGACCTTTATGCAGAACTGCTCGATTAACCTTGTCTTGGAATATAAAAATCGAGCAGGTGAATGTGAGTTTCACCGTGGTGAGCAGGCTCCTCCCACAGTAAGTGCAGTGGGTAGCAGGGAAAGGTCAACCCGCTCATCCTCCGCCACTCTCAGCTCTGATCCCATGATTTTCAGCACCACCAGCTGACACCGCCTGCTGGCAAATGACTTTTCAAATGGCCTTCAAAGTAGCAATCTATTCCTAGCCCATGATACCTGTCATCTGCGAAACAACACAGCACATTAGCCTGATGTGACTCCCTCCCACTGTTATTTGAAAACATATGGTGAGACAACTGAAGTGTCAAACTGTTTTATATGTTTAATCAGAAGTAGCAAATTACAGAATTCTTTTTTTTATTCAGTGTTTATTCTTATGCTCAAAGGATACAACAAAGTCCCATTAAACCAAACTGTATTTACTATCATTTGATATGGACTTCTCAGAGGAATATAGTATTTGCATGTTGTTGTCATTAGTTCTCAAGCGATAAAACTTGTAATTGGTTTCTTTTATAAAGCTGGTAAACACTGCTGTGAGCAGAATATGGTGATAATTTCCAATCAGTTCTTCCCAGAGGAAACGTATTATGAAGTAAATATGAGGGCTTGCTTTGTTTGTATGGTTTGCAAACAGATTATAGCATGAGTGTGTCTCTTAAAATGACCTTCTTATGGTTTGTTGAGAGGACAATGCTGTTAAAGTCATCCCCCACATATATTTCCCATTATATTTCCCCCCTAGATGTTCTCCCAGATTGCATTGACAGCAACCAAATAACAGTGGCTTTATGTCAAATTGTAACAAAAGAACAAATAGAAAACACTTTTCCTGCTAACCGGATCATCTAACTCCATTTATGTCAGGAAGGATTCCTCCATCCAAAGTAAATTGGCAGCTCCATTACCCTTTAAATGTATTGCGATTTGATTTATGAACTAAACAGCTTTTTATTGATTTCAAGGTTGATTACATGGTTTTTAGTATCCATAAATCCATCTTCTGGCAGACTTTTACATTGTAGAGTTTAGTTGGGCTTGACAGGTCTTGCTTGATTGGAGGACAGGATTTTTTACGATGAGTATTTCAGGTTCAGTCAAGGGCAGAGCAGAACAAATTTGTTTTTTAACCTGGATTGTAAGGTGGTCAAAGTTAGTGCAAGTTTAATATCCTCTGGAAGTTAGTCCCAGCTCTCTGGTGAATAGTTAGTAAATGCTTCCTCACCAACAGTAAGCAGCAGAGAGTGTTTATATGGTAATAGACATTTAGAGATGTAATTTGGTCCTAAGCTATTCATATATTTACAGAAGAGCAGCTGTTCTTAAAACGTTGTAAGGATAGAAGCATATGATATGCAATGTCTTAGCTAGTGAAATGTAAAGTTGTTTTTAATGCAGACTTTGCTACTTTCAGACATAGCATAACATCAAATGTTAATATAAAAATATAAACTTTGAAGGCTTTGTGTCTGTTAGCGTGTTGGGAGTTTGCCTGTCTCCTAGGATACGTTAAACATAGTCTGATGAAAATGTTAAACAGTCAAAGACATTGTGAACAAATATGAAGTAATTGATTTCAGTTGCTCCCGATCAAAGAAACCCACAAAACAAAGCAAAACAAGACTAGAATGCAATAGAGCTATTAAGCTAATGTGGTTATTACTAAGATAATACTATGTAATGACAACATGTTTCCCTTCTGTGAAACTTAATAGACAACCTTTTTATTTTTGTAAGTTATATGCTACCAATGTCAAACTTGATTCTTGGGCCTTTTCTCAGATGAATAGCTTTAAGATAAGTCCTCCAGACACTAATGAATTCCGACGTTAACTAGTGAATGTCTTTGACCCCTGTTGCTCATCATCATCGTCATTATTTAACGAATCCAATGTTCCATTTGTCCCCCATTTATTTTTGAAGCAATGCGTCCGTCTGGGTAATAGCTCATCAGTGCTCTATTCTTTACAGAAGGCTCGTAATCTACAAAGTCTGATGAATATTTTTTCACTTTTTTTTCCAGTTTCTTTTTCACTTTTTCTCGGTTTTCCTCTTTACTCTGGAAATTATTCACATGTATATTTGTTGTCAATTCTATATAGACAGAGTAGAAACATGATTAATCTAAAAAGAAAAAGGAAAAGAAAAGTTATTAAATACATTACAGTGTTTTAAAGGCAATGGAACCACTTATCCAAAACATGAATTGGACTCGTAATTAAATGTTATAACATAATAATTGTTTCTAATTTGATAATTTCTTGCTGTCACAGTATCAGAGCATTTCAGACTTGGTACTATTATGCGAAACAAGAAAAAGCAACATTATCCTCTATTTCGCTGACTTGATCCACAAGGTTATCCAGCCACATCTATCTGTATCTCTGACAATCCTTTGGCTTTCTTCAGAGTAACAGCTTCAAATTGTACCCGTCGTTTTGTTTGACGGCACCACAAGAGTAACTGAGTCCGAGTCTCTCACCGTGGGGCAGAATTCGGAGTTAATCTCAAGATGGATCAGAAATTTGAGAGTTCATGGAAATGTTCCTGCGTCTGTTTCCTCATTTGTCCTTGTCTGAGATCGATTATTAAGGGAGAATTACTATTCTTGTGGTACTACTGCCTTATTAGGCCCATATTGGGCAGAAAGACTCATGTACAACACCAAAACTCATGTACAACAACTTCATTACTTGCAACAAATAAGCACTAATTAGAGTGTTATTGAGGAAAAACTCTCAACTAATGGCTTATTACTTGTAGAATATGGTCATGTAGAATAAGGCATTAATAAGTGTTTTATAATGACTAACAAAGGGCCAATATACTGCTAATATGCATGCTAATGAACAACTAGTTGATGGTTAATTTGTGTACCTTAATATAAAGTGTTACCAAATGTAAAATGTAGCAATTAGCAACGGAGCTTTGTGATCTGGGAACTGGTGCTAGAAAGGTACTGTTTGTTGTTGTGTAAACTAAACATTTTGTTAGTTTTGAATGATAATGTATAGATATGAGGGATGTTATGTATTCCCTTTTCACCGCAGTTTTTGTGTCCATATGCTCTTGTATAGTTTTCTATTTTTGTATTATATTCTTATTTAAGATATTTTTTTATGAACCTCTTTTTATTATTTCATCGACTTTCTCTAATCTGTAGTATTGCTATCTTGGTGCTGCTGCAACTGAGTGCTCCCTTTTGGGGGTCAAAAAAGGTTTATCTCATCTTATCTTACTGTTATAACTGAAACAATAGTTGCACCATTACTGAGGATAACGGATTATACTGCAGCACTTAGAGTTTAAAGGTCAGATATGTATTGAGACTGGAGAAAATATTTTTCATCCTGAGTCGATCCTATTGTTGTAGATATGACCGTTTTTCCTATCAGCTATGTTGTTCAACTCCTCATTGCAGAGATTTTGAGATAGGGTCAACACATCTTACTATCCTGTACATGAAGTCATGCAATACAAACCTCCACTTAGTCCTAACAACAACATAAAACCTCTAGTGCCCAAATTCCAGCATGGACATGATAATGCACTCTAAATTTGTGATGGCCGGGCTGCTGTCCCAAAGGTGTAGTCTGCTAAAGGAGATTTGATAGACTTGCAGATGATTTGCAATTATTTATTAATACTTGTGACTGAATGTACCCTATAATAAAGCTCAACAGTAGTAAGCATTCACATGATAAGCAGTTTTTTACGTGCTGCAAACCGCCAATTAAGTTTTGTCTCTATGGATACTTCTCTTGCTAGCTTGCGCCACTACATACAGCTGTCATCTGATTGGTTGTGCTTCGAAAGATCAGCGGTAAACAAGGTCAGAGTTGAAATAATTTGAGCGCAGCGCTGGGGGGCAATTTGGAGCACCACTCT